CGAACCTGGACACACAGTCTTGACTGCGATCTTGCATTAACTCGATTTTTCTTCTTAACCCGTTGATCACCGTGTCGCCCTCATTTAATCGAAATGACACTTCCTAGATTGTAATCTGCGTTAGCGAAAATCATCGAAAATGTAGATATTTTCTGGTTGAGGTATTTCTTAGCTTAACTAGTGAAGTGCTTACAATATTGTATGTTTCGAATACGAATTTCATGCATTTATAGCATGAATTATTATCTAAAACTCAGTACTGTAAAGTGTACCTAAAACAAAAATTGAGAAAGATTTTACTTTCCTTAGAACCTTACAGAATCTTTAATAATGCGAACAAAAATTTTTTTTTATATCGCACTGACGTCACCAGGAACGATGTCTATACGGTTCTTAATTTTACCAGTTTGAAATAAAGAAATTTCATTTATTATCGCTACACTGCCAATCTTCATCTGCATTCGATTCACAGAACAGAATCATAAAAGAAGAAAAATCGTTCCCATTACAAATATTACATTCTACCGCTACCTGTAAAGAATCCCTGTAAATAAAACACGTGTACCCGTTCAAGGGAATGTGCACGAATAAATTCAGCCAGTTCGGCCGAGAATTAATTACATCGGTACACTCTTTAACCGGGCAGCATAAAAAATTGAACTGCTTGCGTGCACTTAAAGCAACAAAGTATATCCCACGTAATAACGACATATGCAACGGGAGGCAGTAAACTGTTTTATAAAACGTCCGTTTTATCTCCCGGGGAACCGTCCGCGATAAATGTACCCCCGTATCTTCTCAATTTGTTTCCGTTATCTCCAGATTCGCGTTGCTTTTAATCAGGACTTTATTGCGTAGATTTTTACCGCACGCTTTACGTCCAGTTGCGCCGTTCTCTTTTAAGAAGGAATCGATGCACTTCACCGTGGAATCACACTACGTTCGTCGTTCCGCGTATCGAACGGGAGAACCGCGGCCGACATTATCGACGTCCTCTCGTTATCGTTATCAGGACCGTCGATCATCATTAACGCTCACAATATCGCGGAATCCGACGGGAACTCGTCGGCGAAACCGGATCTCGCGTCGGTGCCCGGTGACTTAGTGCGTCCGCGTGGCGAGAAATTCGTGGGGACATTTTCCCCATCGAGAAAACGCAGTCTGACGTTCGCGTGATCCTCCTGGAGTGAAACGACAAGCGAAACCGAAGAGGCGAGAGACGTATGTACATAATATAAAAGTGACGAGGAGTAGGCGAAGGGTGGTGGCTTCATAAAAAAATAGAACCCCTCCCATAGCTGAGTGCAAACACATGCTGTTGCTGATAACGAGCCGTGTGCCACCCATCAAGTAAGCGGCCGCGGCCAATCTGATAATCCGTGAGATGCATAATGATTTATTATTACGCCGCCCGGCGACGCGAACCGCGGAGATACACGGCGCCGTGGAAACAACCGATCATCCACGAGTTCCGAAAGTAAAATTGGCGAGATAAAAGGGCGTGGTGGTTGGTTTCTGTTACCAGGAGGTATGAATTGTATTTTAATGGAGTCGAATGTTGATTTGGTATACTGGAGATTTATTTCGGGGTGGCAAGATATCGTCTTGATCGTTAGGATCGGTACCTCATATTTACATATTTTGCAGTTGCTTCCAGTTATAAGCGTGTACAAAGAAGAAAAAGGCATAGAAACGGGACAGACGTTACTATAGCGGTTCTTCTGCATTTTGACGATGACACCTCAGCCCCAGGGCATGCAGACACTGACAACCGGTAACTAATTGAATAAGACTATATTGAAACACGTGGAGAACCAGGTCAGAATGGTCTCGTTGCTCTAATTGATATCGCGTCAGTGTATGATACGAGCTCACCGAAGTGGATGAACGACGGATGGTCGTGTTGACGGGTGCATCTAGTAAATATTTAGAGTCTCATACATATTCGAGAGTACAACATGGATAACGGAGAATGGGGACCACTCCCCGTTTGTTCGAGAACACAGGACGAGGTTAAATATTGGATGCTTGGAGGTGCTTCCAATAAGAGCTTCTTGCGGAGTAATCTTTTCTTGCCGAAGGCGATGTGTAAAATTGCTAGGCGACGAATATCTTTCACGGTGAACATCTACCTGGGCGTGGCCTTTGAAGTGGCGCATGTAATTCCGCCAGTCACCTTAATCTGGGCTAGCTGTTTATTGTGTGGTGACGCATGTTGTTCCCGTGGAATATCGCGAACAACGCATCTTTCGCGTCGAATAAGCGTTTACTGGAATTTTCATATCATATGTTACTTTTATGCAGAATCTGTTCATTACGTGCTTCTAACTGTCAGTGCACGCAAATAAATGAGAAATATGTGACAGAAAATATAATACACCTAGTGTTAACCATGGTAGATTTAATATACAAGGGATCGGTAAATGTCAGATCCTCGAGACCCCCAAGATACCCAATAGGAACAACATTACGGACAATAGGGCCGATAAAGACAACAGATTTAAAAGGATTTAGAGGTTTAAAAAGATTATCGAGTCTATCATGCTACAGAAGTTTTTCTCCGGAATAATAGGCTTTCTGATTGATTTTAAAACGTTTATTTCAATGTAGATTACAGATCTTAATAATAACGTACTAATATTCTTAGAAGTGATTTTTTTTTGCGCATCTCACCGATGCAGTTTGTGCACCGAAACAATTGTTTACCGATATATTATAAACAGAGTCTCAAGTCGTAGATATTATTACCGAGAGCGGGATATAATCTATATACAAATACTATGAGTTAAATATCTACAGAATCGAATGCTCCCACTTTTGTACGAAGGTACCACAAACGTACCGCAGCATTTCACTGTGCGAATATAAGTGTGTCCCTTCGAAACAGTGAAAAGGCTATAAATAGTTATTTACTCGTCGTATAAATTGCATTACGGATCAGTGGAACTGTCGACGGAATATTACGTGCTCAAGAAGTATTTGCCAAATGGCATTTTCTCGGTCTAGGCGACCTTAATTTCTGCTATTCGGGTCGGCTGAGACTGATCGTACAGGATCTCGCAAAATCACGCGGCACATGTTACACATATAAACAACCCTATGATCCGTCACGGTTATTCGGTAACAGTTCCGTGATTTGTTTCGTGTTAAATTAACGCTTTCTTACAAGAATAATCCGATCTCTCCGCCGTAGTTACAGTACCGCGGCACAATATCAGATAAAACGTCGAGAAAAATATCGTATTTACATATTTTGGACTTTTTGCTAATAATTCTTGCTAGCTAAGTGCCAAAGTAAGGTGACGTCAATTGACCATTGACGGATAACGATTGCATCCGCAAATAATGTTACCAGACTACGGCGCAGTAGATCCCGTTCGTATCACTCGTCGCGCATTGGCATTGAGCATCGGCATAATCTCATACACCAAATACAACGTCTTAACTTAATCGCTCTACTATGTACACGTACGTTGGTTCGCCTAACGGTTTGATCCTCCATGTACAATCCCCGTTATTTAGAATAGTCTAGCAAAAGTCGAGTTAGTAGAAAAGTTCTTGAGCTGGGTGCGCTTTAACAGAACGCGCGCATATAAATACGGACGATTAAAAAAAGAAATCAGTTTGCTCTTTATTGTAAAAAAGGGAACATAATAAGGAGTTCCATCCGGTATGTACACAGTTTCAAAGTTAAACAAACTGAACTTTAAATAAAATTTCACATGATCTGTGAGGCAACTATTTTTTTTTTTTTGGTAAACAACAAACCTATTACAGCCTTCGTGTTCAATATTCTCAGATCACCGTTTACGTTATATTTGACTATTATAATATTAACCGAAAGTTAGAATCTTCAACTCTGGAACAGCTTGTACAAATGGACCTCCTGATTTCTCTAAATGATTCTCTTCGAGTGGATTTTGTTCGAATATCGTTGCTCGCACTCGCCTCCTATGCTGATATAGGCTCGCGAGCGTGTCGTGAAAAAAAAAATCACTTAACGGATACTAACAGTTATTAAATAACATTGTAAAGATCGCGTGCTGAATCGACGATACCGTTTCGAAACACGAGACGCGACAGCGAGGGAAGGCCGTTGCGCAACCTCTCTCTCGCCAGGTTCGCCCGACGATCTGCTGCCCGCAATTTTTACGCAAATGTGTCTCCGAGTATGGCAAATATGGCAAAAGGTTGCGTGTTTCATGCACATGCGTCCATGCGACGCGTCGAATAAATATGGTTCACGTAGGCTAACAAAGACCTTCCACCTGACTGCAGATTTTGCGAAAAAAACCGTTTCACTATTTAGTCAGCTATATACAAAAAAAGCGGCCTGACTTCTCCCGAATACAGATTCTATTCCCTCCTATATACTCACGAAAGTGTTCAAAGTTCGCCCATACACGCGGATCGTACAAAAATGTCGTAACGTTACGAGGTACCCCACAAAAAAGGGACGATCATCGTATAACATTACGTGTCTTGGAAACCCACGGTGCAATTACATAATTCGCCAGATCTATCTCATTTTTTTAATAATACGTTATATACTCTAAGAACGTAACGGAGTGTCGAAACGTCGATCGTGTCTCCCATCTTACCGCGTTATTGCACGTACGATAAAAAAAAAAATGAAGCGTTGCTCGAGATTCCCTCTAGGGAATGTTTAGGTGACTTCTTTCGTTAGCGGCAATTTTAAGATCTCGTGGCATCTGTTTACATTCAGTGCTGTCCATCGTAAACAGTCGGATATCATCGTTCCTCGCGGAGACGAATATATCCCTGGACCACGTACACACCGCAAATCTACAATCGTAGTTCCTGGAAAGTCTTCGTGTCCATAAGTTATCTTATTTACAGCGTGGCGGCACGATCCACTTCCCTCGACGTCCATTCCTCCCGTCGTTATCGTGGACGACCGCAATCGATCGATAAAAAGGAGACCCATTACCCTTTCACGCGATTCGCATTGAAAATTACTTCCTACTATCGCTGCCGGGTGAACGTATGGAACGTATATAACACCGAGTCATCGGAATAATGGACGGAATCGGGTTGCAGGCAAGCGCGTTGTTCGACGATCGAGTCGAACCTTGACAGAAAAAACTCTCTACAATGTTTCCCGAAATGTTCCGGGTCAGACGTAGACCTCTCCCCTCTTGCTGCCAGCAACTTGTGCACTGGGTGGTACGATGGTGGTCGCATTTGTGGGCGTCGCGCCTAGTCCACCCGAGAGCGAAGCGTTGGTGCAGGACACGCTGCTGATCTTTCTGGAAGTGTCCTGGATACGATGACTGGGTCTACAGAGATCGTGGCCGATGCTGTTGGTCCTGGGACGAGTATCCTGCTTGCAGTGTACCATCAGCCTATCTATATTAGGTGGATCGTGGCCGTTCGACACGGAGGCTGCACGATTTTCCCTAGGCTGAAGGCCAGGTGAATGAGGCAGGGACATGCTCCTGTCCTCCCTGGTCTGCAAAATAGGCGGACCAGGTAAAGACGCCGATCGTCTTCCACGTGGATCCGATCCTGTCCTAACATCCTGCCCGGTGGGTACTGTAGCAACCACGTAACTCAATTTCTCCGGATTCATCAAGATAGGAGAACGATCGTTGTAACTGTCGAACGTAGGCGAGCTACCGTTGCTACCCAACGGGCTGGCTGTGTCCCCTATCAAAGGTGTGCTTCTCTCTTGGCTCATTAGAGGCGTGGACCGTTCTTCCTGTCCGGTGATGCTACCACTCCTACTGCTACCGCTGCCCGAGCCCTCCTCCTCGCTGCTGTTCACCTCGGTCAGAGTCGCTTGGATTCCGTTCGGATGATGATTGCTAGACCTGAGCATCGACGCCGAGGTGGTCGTTACCAGGCCCAACTGCGACAACTGACTCATCGTGACCGGTGTCAATGCGACAGGGGCAACCAGGCCAGCGCTGGTTAACGTCGGTGACAACACCGCCTGCGCCAAGGCCGCTGCCCCCGATTTTCCGGTCGCTGGCGTGCCCTCCGTCTCTTGGATCGGCGAGAGCACCACCTGGACGACAGGTAGGTCCGTTGGATAATGTCCATTCGCCGGTATCACACCGACCACACCCGCGCCGATGTTCGCCGCGTTCGTCGCGGACAGAGCTAATCTCTGTTCACGGTCGACCACCTCTTTAGTCACGTCCGGAGTCGGTATACGGGGTCGGTTCTTCAGCGAGACCGGCACCGAGTTCAGCTTCGTCATTGTACCTGCGGAAAAGGAATCAAATTAGGTTATTACAAGCCAGCCTTGGCTCAGGTCGATACCGCATTCCCGATTGGAGGTTGGACACTGTGTGCTTCGATTATGGGGACGATTAAGTTATTCTCGGCACCGGGATAATATCGGCGGCCGAGCTAACGATGATTAGGAATTTTTGCCCGCCCGTTACTTTTACCGCTAGATATGGAACGAGGAAACGGATCCTCCGGTTTCATTGATAGCCGACACCAGGGCGATCGAGACACGGGGAGACTATATGTATATAATTGCCTCTGGTACTTTTCTCGACGCTAGTTGCTTTTTTTTTTTAGTTGTTTGTTCGTTGTGATAGCAACGAGAGAAGAAAGAATCACAAGGTCTTAGGAAAGTTTCGTTTTTTTTCTCTCTTTAGAGAATTGCAATCGCGGAAATTGTTTGGGTAACGCAAGGTTACGCATTGCGTAACGAATCATAGATGCGTCGATTGACGAGGGGGGAAAGTGTTCGGGATGGTCGCGGGTCTTTCATTGAAAGTTTTTCTCGTCTTGAGATTGAGAAACGCGATGGTCACGCGAGAAGATCGCTGGAACGCGAGGAAAAAAGACGAGGATCGCAGAATCCATTCGATACATTGATTCTTATTGTATACCTTTTTCTACGCGACATTATTCAACACGTAGCAGGAGAGAAATATTCGTTTGTAATTGAATGTTTCTGAAGAAAAAACTGTCTGCCTTTCGAGTCGAGCTAATGGACGACGTTAATTTATGCAAGTGGAAGATACTGGCGAGGTGTGCAGGTGTATTATGTAAGATCGCATCATTATCGTTCAAATGACTTGAAAATTAACGTAATTATGGAACAAGCGGCGGTGTGTTAACACGGTCGGTAATTGCGGTTCACACGTTCACGTTACGAACCTCCGAATTCAATTTCCTTCGAGTTCGTATCTTAATTTACAAAGTAGTTTTAAAGGTAACTCTGAATGATCTCACGGAAGATCGGTTCCGTGGGTTGTAATACTTGCCTTGTCGACCCATTCGTTGGCTTCGAATGCTTTTACGACCTACTAATCGATCGTAAAGCGACATTTTAAGATTTGGATTATTTGTCTGTGGCAATCCTCCAGTTTCAGGACTACTGTAGACGCTGTTGTGGCGGTTTCTTGAGAAGAAACCACCACCACTGCTGTATGTGGTCGAGGAACTGCGCACGGAACCCATTCTCGTGATTTGTCGCTGTAGCCAATTTTTCCTTCGCTCCACTAACGGAGTATCAACGCTTTCCTGTAAAATATTCAATAATTTATTGTACATTTCGTAAGATAAAACCGAGTAAGAAGATGTTTAAGTTGAAGAATACGGATAATTGAATTTGTCACGGATTTCGATGGAGACACCAGGTGCATCTGTTCGAATATCGACAGATTCAAGTTCATTTCGTGACGTGCACTTACGTAATCGGCATACATGTCGTCCTGATGGGTCTTGCGATGCTGAACGTGATTGTGAATCTGTGTACCCAGCATTACGTTCGCATAAAGAGCGTTGCTCTCCTTGACCTTATAGTGTTCTGCAGATCCTTTCGGCTCCTCTCGTCGATATTGTTCGCTGGCCACCGTGTACGGTAGATCTTTTGGCACTACTTCGTCCCAGTATTGGTCCTTCAACAGCTCGGGGTGCTCTTCGTGCATTTCGTCGACGATCATGTATCCTGCCTGTTGAACAAGTTAGAATGGTGTCAATGATCCGATATTGCCTTCGATTCGTGAATTATACACAGTTAAAGATGCTATTAAAACAAGTTTTTGTGGTATAAGTTAACCACATTTTAATACCGAATCGAGGTATACATAACTGCTGTCGTAACGTATGGAATAATAAAATCCATAACTAGCGATGGAAGGTTTAAATTTGTTAATGGAAGAAAGAACGCAAGAATTATTTGACGATCGGGCCATTCGGTAGGATTCAAAAGTAACTACAAATATTGAATTTCCCCCTCTATCCGGGGAATTAATTTTAAACGTGACTTTATTTACGAGATGACTTAATAAGCAAGGAATTTATAACCCATTAAAGACGTCTACCATTACTTGGCGATACTGGAAACGGATACTGTGCAAATAATCGTCTTACCTTAATGTGCCGATCAATGAGCCAATTCAATTCGATGTCGTCGTCGTCCTCGCCGAACGGATTGATCAGCACCTCGGCGACTTTCAGCCATCCCACATAGAAGCAAAACTGAAAGGAATGCGTCCGGTTGATTGATACGCAATAACAGGTTACGGTTTTACGAGCCGCGTGTATTTCTCACCTGCAACGCCGTGAAAAATGGGAAATACATGTCTGGTTCCTCGTATTTCCCGCCTCCGACGTCGGTCCGCTCGATAAACTGTCGGCCGAGCAACGCGGAAAAGAAATACGCGTACAGTGATAGCGTGACCACCTGGAAAACGTAAATAAAATGAATATTTCCAGTTGCTCGGATACGGCTCTGATACGGGGACTACAAAATTGTACACGGTCCGTGCTTGGATTATTGTAATTTAACCGCGTAGAAATTGAGTCATTGTTAATTTCACCGAACAATCATCATCGTCGCGGTCGTTAATCGAACAATCTTCTATGAGGACACGGGTGGGATAATCGAATGATTTAACTAACAGAAATTTATAGATGGACATGTTCCTCGATTACATCATTTCATTTGATTCTCGGAACAATTGTTATACACTTTCTGCGCATGAAGGAAGTGTCGTCGAAAACGATCGACGATAAGAAACGGGTATAGCATCGCCATGAATACATCCTCTTTAATTTTTTAGCCTTTCTTTATTATTTTCCTGAGTATATTCTTGATTCTTTTCATTCTTGGGTGGTTTTGAATTTTTACGAACTCGATATCCTGGACAAAGTACGAATAATGTGGAGCCTTGGGGTAAAATTTTATCGGTAGGGCATCGAACGAGCAAAAAAATCGACGATACGATCAAATACCAAACGAGCTACGTCGAAGGTAAGTGCGAGGTCGCACCTTTTGAGTAAGGTAGGTTTATCATTTAAATGGTACAAGGGGTGTGGAATTTCGTTGGAAAGCTTTTTTTAACTGTCTCGTCCTTTCTTCTCTTTTCACGACGTGCGTAAGAGCGAACAGGTTTGAATGAAATAATATCAAGGTCGGCAAGAGCAGTACCTTTCTCGTCGAAGGCCACCAGGAAATGATAGTTTATGCAAAAGCTTGTTACCAGCATCGCGAAAAAAAGGAATGAACGATAGTTTACCTTTACACGGCGATGTCCACGCCTGTAGGTGGTCATAACACTGCAAAATTATTTCCGCGAAATAATCGACAAAATCGATGATCGACAATATTTTCAATTAATTTCATATCTATTTTTAAAACATATAATCCAAACAAACCTCGGAATGTTTTCAAACGAGCTGTCGCAGAAAGTTCACTCTCTTGGAACGAAGTAAAAGGTCCCAGCTGTTAGAAAGAAAATTCACCGCGGCGGTTCCGCCGGTAATTAAAGCGTATTATCGCGTCGAGCTGAATTGCCGTCTCTCTGTCGAAATTTATAAAACGACGGCAAGCAGAGAGTCCGTTACTATGCAAACGTTCACGATAACCGACGTATCACGTAAAACACAGAGGTCGAAGCGTTCTGTGAATGTATCATTTCACAGCACGCGTGCAATCGTTTACGCATAACCTTGCAATTCTGGGCAGTCTTTCCAGTACAGGTGAGACATGTTACAATTTACACCGTGAAAGATGAGGAGACTCTTTGTGGTGTTCCATTGCGAAAATATGACGAAGTGAATAATTGCACACCGGTTGGGTCATTCTTCCTGAAATCCAACCTGTTCTCTTAATTGTAAAGAATTAAACTTGTATTATTTAACGTCTAGAAATGTAGAATTTCTTAAAAATGCTCAAAAGTTAATGATTCGATTAAATGAATCCTAATTTACTAATGTTATTTCATTTCGATCATCGTGATTGATTGTTATTACAGTCACCGATCAACAAAACAATTTAGAACTATCCCAAGAAAAAACCTGAATACCTTCGCGAGAGTTAATTGATCATCATTCCCATTAGCCTCGAACTTGTTCCGTTTTCGAAAGAGGAATTCGATGTATCTCTTCGTCGATTGATAAGCAAATGCGAAATCAATGCTGGAATTCTATTACCGATTGAATTTATGAGAAAAACACGAGCAATGGAAAGAGAAATGTACTTCGTTTCACGCTCGCTGACTAACAGAGACGATTCATCCGTGTCTACGATCGATCTAAATTCTAAATATACCAGTAATGAGATGCCCGACATTTTCCATCGAGGAAACGGCCGGACGATTGTTTTTTAGCCGCAGGCGATCGCCGATGCCTTTGAATTTCGCGTCCAGTGAGCATCGATCGTAACCGATTACACAATCGTTCGATGAATGAATGTATTCCCGCTGTTCGATCCCGAACTCGGTCGTGATTGACATGTTGTTCGTCGCATTAGATCTGCGGATTTATCGTCGATTTTTAATCGGTGTTTGGAAACCACTTACATCCAGTGGACAAGCTATCGAAGCTTCTGCTCGTCGAAAAACAATCACTTCCAACGACCGATTAAGACCAGGATACGGAGACGGACTCGATAAATAAACAAAGGTCGTGCAAAGGCCACTCTCCGACAAAGGAACAACCCAGTGCAGCCGGTTTTAAGACGACGCGAATATGCTCTTTAACTCCAGTGAAGACGATGGCGTCTGCACCCGACAATTAGGGATGCCCGCTGATGAGCAATTAGCATTGCACAATGCATACGTGTCGGATAATTGCGAATATGAAATATCTTTCCACGAACCAAACCGTTTTACGGCTGTGCTGCAGTGAATCGTGTCCTTCGAATTGGACTGGTGGATCTACTTGTACGTCGATCACCTCTGATACGGTGGATACTGGATCGAATAAAGGATTTCTGTAAGTTCCACGATGTACGTATAGGAGCCTTTTGTCTACGCGATACCATGTTGAAATCGGGTGACGTACTTTCTAATGATCTCAACCACCCAGGGAGATCGTTAAGTTTTTACCCGCTGAAACGGATTTATCCGGGGAAAATAAAAACGTTAGAACGCGTTATTATAATGCGCCCCGTGATACTAAAATGCTAGTGAAGTTGGCTCGAAAGGATGAAAAATCGGAATCGAGAATTCTTCTTATAAGGAAACATTGGCAGGCAGACTTTACGCGAGATAAACGCCACGAACGGGAGTTACACAATGTTGTGGCCGCGGGAATATCGAATCAACGGGATGACGGTAATGAGAAATAGTTCGCAATGAAGACGTTTTAAGCGCTCTCTGAACGACAGTAAACGACGGGACAGTTATACAACTAGTTAGCGTGTGCATGATGGAAAGAAGTAGCGATGGATAATGACAGGTAAATGATTGATTGAATGTTTGAATCGTGAAACGCTTCGTTGGACGAATCCATCGGACACTGAAAAATGTACAAAGGAATACTACTGGGAGATTAGTTCCAGAAAAGGTCCAATTCCCTGCTGTGAAGATCGAAGAAGACTAAACGTCCCAAGTTCCTGGCCCAGTCAGACCCTATTTATATCCAGCTTTTCGCTTCGCAACACTAGAAACGTTATTTGTTCTGGATCCCATTCGAAGTGTCTTTCAAACGATATATCCACCCGTAAATCCTCGTTCGATGATCGAAGGAAGAAACATATGTACACGTGTTCGATCGAGTTTACTAAAATGTCAGGATACTCACCTGAGTGTAAACTAGAGGAACGCAAACGGTGTCGTAACCGATCAGTGCGCCAAGCCTCTTCCTGATGTCGCTGAGCTCGACAAGGAGGGTTTGCACCACTTGATCGCTGGTTATCAGGGCCTCCCTCCTGGCCCTGTTAATTATATTTGTCGCCCATACCAGCGGCATCCAGTACTTCGACATCGCCGCTTTCTTGTTCATCATCTCGAAAATTTTCTTCTCGGATTCCATCATCAGGCCTGCAAGAAGTAGATACGGATTGTCTCGAATATTTTCTCTTCTATTAAAACTTTCGATCCACGCCGGGCGAACGGGGTGATATCGTAGAAATGGCGCAGATCTCGCGCGAACTTTCACCGAACGAACGGTTACCGAATTATCGCTAAAAAGAAACAACGCGACACGGGGCTAGGATCATTATCGTTGCGGCAATAAGTCAAACTGTCCTCATTACTGAAATTCATTCCAGTGGTTCGTTAATCGATCGACACATGCTCGGAAGCGTTATCGAGCGATCTGTACCTACCTCGTACCGACTTTCGCGCATGCATCGTGCGACCGACAATCATTTGCTTGTTACATGACCGTAAATGCAGATATTGTGTAAATTTTTGTCTGTGATACACAGGGTGAGGCACCTAAAACAGGCCACTTGAATATCTCGGCTGTTACTGGTGATAGAAGAAAATGTGTCAGATCAAACATGCATGATATCAAGGAGCACGAAATTCGATGTGAATGGTTTTTTGATAGGTGGACGTGTGGAGGTCATACGAAGGTCAACTTTGTTTTTTTGTTAATTAGTGGCCTGTTTTTGACGCCTCACACTGTATATGATTGTTGGATAGTACTTTTGCTAGCATTCGTAACTCGACGACAGAATTTTTAAAATCGTCTTTGACACGATCGTGTGGACTATGATCGCATGAGTTTCGAAAGTGTTGATATGCCAGGTCAGTAAATTCAAACGATCGAGTGCTTGTAGACATACACTTCCAGCAGAATCGCACGAAGAAAGGCCGATTATTTATTAGTTGGTGAGCCGATGATTATGTAATGGCTCGGGGCCGGTCACGTGATACGCTCGTAAACATGGAACACGTGGCGACCGATGCACATTGCGCGTAGCTAACAATGCAGCTGAGAATACGCTATTAGTCAGTCGATGGTCGTCCTCTTTGTATCGGCACGCGGAATTGCCTGGAGGCCATAACGGCGCGAAATATGGACAGATGATTTTCGAAAGATTTTCGCCCGGCGGTACGTTAAGTTGCCTGTTTCCGTTCGCGATTTGCGTTACGTGTCTATTACGTAACATTCGGTCGACGGTTTTCAGCCGCGAGATAGTGTGTTGCACCAGCAATTAACGATGCCTATTACAAAAACTTCCATGTTACCTGGCCCGGGGCATCGAAAACAATTTCATCGAGGAAACTACCTTCTTTTCTGAATAAACTAAACTAAATAATGAACCGTCTTTACGTTGATCGGTCTCGTGAAACAGATCCCAGAAGAAACGTCTTTCTCTCGATGCGTTACGTACTAGAACATCGCAAGAACCGGCTTAAGTTTCTACAAAATATAAGGAAGAACTTAACGGTTATAATTATATATGTGCTGATATGTAATAGGAGAAACATTATACATAATTATAGCGTGTTACATCATTCTGTATTTCGTGAATGTGGAATGGGAATATTTCAGGTCCTAGCGATGGAGACTTCAACGCAGGCATAGGAACAATCTCACGAATGTCTATTATGAATGAAAGCTAATTTCTGTGAATCGATTAGCCGTCGACGTCATATTTATTCAAGCCTTCCTCAGTCTCCTCTGACGGTTCTATTAGCCAAGTGAATCCTCATCTACAATTGTAAAACACATTGTATAAACAATGGACAATGCCTTCGAGCGCGCATACCGGCGATAGACAAAGTCTCGCGTCGCGATACCCCGAGGATCGATGAATTACACCCTTTTGCGCTTTATGAATGCAACAGGAACGCTCCCAGGCTCTCTAGTGGGGAGGGTGCCAGTTTAACGACGGTCAGCGTTGCAAAAAACGATCTTAAAAGACACGACGACCGCAGAGAGCATCGGTAACTACTTCTCGATTGGTATCCGATCGAATAACGGGAACACGGTAATTTCTCTCTTTCTCTCTCTCTCTCTCTCTCTCTCTTTCGAGTTAGTGGGGGGAATCTTTTTTATTGTTAGATCGGAAAACGGGCGCGTCCAAATGGACGTATCTCCGTAACGAAGACTGGATCCCTCCTAGACCGAAAAAACGAGACGCCTTCCTAAGGAGCGGTTATCGAAATAACTCGTGGCGTCATTCCGACGAATCGTGTCGGGATCGAAGAAACCGTCTGTACGATCGAAGAAACGCAACGTGCCGACGTGTGGTTATTAATGGTGGCACACATGTACACTCCACTGTACCATAGTCGCGCGCAAGCAGGTTCAGGTAATGACCTTAATAGCAAAAACTGATGTGCTTAAACGGCCGTTGAAACCAATACGGTTACGCGGTATGTGCTCGCCCTGTTGCCACACCTGTTGGCCATCTCACGTGATGATGGTTGGTCACTCGAAAATGACAAATGAAGTTCTTAGTCGGTAGCTTAAAGATGAATTTCTTAATCTGCACGAGATAAAGCGTTATGAATTCTGATGTTTATCTCTGTTACGTAATTCGTTCTACGGAAGAATAGAATACTCTTCGATCGAACCGATTCGATCACCGACGTCAGACTCGCGATTTACGTCAACAATACAGCACTGACTCCGATCGAATCGATACACGCAGTCGGCTCTATATTCGGTGTGTATGACCTTGATGCAATCGCACGGTCACATGGTCTCTATAGAACGAGAGTTCGAGAATTTGCAAGCGAGAGTCACGGCCGATAACTCATCGTATGAGTCACGACGCGTTGTCCGCGGATAGAATAATGTTGCACGGCCAAACGATGGGTAAGACAATATCATCCTGAACTCGTGTTGAAATTCGATATTTTAACAGAATAAACGATCACCTCTTAGACCGTGAGAAATTTTAAAGTCAGAATGTGTCGTAAAGACTTTTGAGAATTGTTGCTCGATAAGAATTCTTTTTACGTCACATTCGCTGCAGAGCGTGCCACGATGGAGCCCGGCCGATCGATAGCGGAACAATTGGTACCGCAACGTGATAGAGTACCGTTCCAATCAATTAGCAATAAAAATGATGGAACGGTAGTCGCGCACGTCGTCTTGCCTTCTAGATCGAATCGGAAGTGGACGGGCCGATGACGGAAAAGTCACCTGGCGAGAGAGAGAAAGAAACGCGTCGGGTTTTCCATGGTTACAGGAAATATTCTAGTATACACCTAACCGATCCATGCTCAGTGAAACTCGGCCGCTTTCGCGCGTTACACCCGACGATTTTCGCACGAAAAATATGCGCGCCGCCGCCGCCGCCGGCGACAACGACGTATCCGTCTGAAACGAAATTTTTCGAAAGTGTTTGTAAGGTATCAGCGCCAGGGGGGAACAACTTATGCCCGCTTTCACGGGTTTTTACAGCCGAGCGCCGATATCCACGGGGAATGACGAATTTCGTTCGCAGAACCCGCAGGATCTTCGAGCAACCGGAGTCGATGACACCACATGGTAACATTGCAGATTTCAAAAGACTCTCCTCGACGGTTACTCAATACGGTCGATATCCGCTAACGAAGCCAAATCGGCGTTAATTATGAAAGCACGCGCGCGAATGAACGAACGGATCGGTCCTTGACGCACAGTCATTTGCACCTCAGGTATGTAAGTCAGTGACGCGCACGTTCCCGGCTGCGATTCCAACGTAAATTATTACGCTCTATGAAGCCGATGTTAACGACATCGAGACGGCAGCAAAATAAAAAAACAATTGCGGAGTATTGCAACGACATGCGAGCCGGTGGATACTCCATTATCCTTTTAATTGGTCGACGGGCTCATTTGTAACGGATAATAAGTACCCCGTAGCGTGGCGTAAAACAGTCCGATTTGCAGAAACGATTACGCTCTACGGGCACAATGGAGGAATCGAAGAAATTTGCAACGAACATCCGCGAGTTCACCAGCTGAAACGGCTAATGGTGAATAAGAAGAACAAGAAGCGGTTTCTAGAGGATGTTTACCTCGCGAAAGCGTCAGCTGAAGACCGAAGATAACCAAGGGAGGTAGCGGATATACGAGCAGCGCGGGGGGGCCTTAAAGCGGAGAATGCTTGTCGGGGTCAATAAACGCGAGGATCCTTGCACGGCCGGCAAGGTCGCCACGATGGTAAAAAATCAACCGTCTGCCTCCTCGTCTCTCCTTCGTCTTATCCTCACAGATTCGCCTCATCGGAGCTGGACCGATGCTGAAAAGCATCCTTCGGTGAAAACCAGTCCGTCGGCCAGTCCTTAAGCGTGATCCATAATCGCGGTAGTTCGAGCACACGACACGTCATCCAAACGTGTTTTCCTTTTTCTTTTCCTTTTTGTTCGAACGCACGGAACGTTGATCCACCACGAAAATCACGCTACGTCACGATCGGGTTGAGTCGATCGACGATCATCGAAAGGCGGGAAATCGCGATATCGACGTTTTTGGCGCGGATTCATGGACACGCGGCCAAGCTGTCGCTCGACTCCCTAGCCGAGACCTGGCGCCCCGGTGAAACTGCCCACTGATTAGGAAATATTCCCGCGTAATTAGACGGGGGCGAGTTTTAAATCATGGCGAGCACACGCGGCCCGCGAATGCGGCCTGGGTGTCAATAGACAATCGACCTGCCAAGGAGAAAATCGATCGTGTCCACGCCCGCGTTCAGGCCGTGCATGGACGATAATCCGGGCACGTGTACCGATCATAGAAGCGATATCGATACGTAGTTTACGATTTCACTGTCAACGGGGAACAAGAGGTGGGCTTGGAGAAATTGGGATGAATCTAGTGGTATAATGTCTAGAAATGGCGACGGATACCGTAGTATAAGGGTAGGCAATTTGTTCGATAATAAGAGCCACGTATGATACTTTTCATGCATTTTTAAACGTTTCAGAGCTACAGAAATAAAGTATTCTAATATTGGTACATACTATACGATTATAGATTATGAATATAACAGTTTAGGAAATATGGCAATGAAACCCAATATTGGGAGCCGTAGTTTGCCCACCGTCGTCATAGAATAATGGGACTCGCCACTGATAACGGTACCTGGGAT